TTTTTTGTTTTTATCTTCTCAGGATGAGAAACATGAAGCTAAATTGATCGAGCTCGCTCAAAAATAAAAGGAGGAGAGAGACAACCATTTGCTAATTTGGAAGAATAATATATATTTTTATTTTATCATTCTGTGTTGTTGTCATGTTATCTAATATTATTGATTGTATTCAACTTTTAATTTAACTTCCGATTTTGGGAGGAAAAATATTTGAAGAAATCAATTTCACTTCCTGTGGGGTTAATGAACATTAATTATGTTTTTTAAAATGTTGAGAAATCCCACACCCTTTCCAACCAGAACCTTAATCTGGCACCTTAGACCAACTCGACCATCTCAACTTTGTTGATCAATGTCTTTTATAATAAAATGTAATGCTAGTAAATTGATGATTTATGTGACCTCTTGGACTACCTTATTCAAATTTTTACTTTTTCCGACCAATAAACTTATCTACTTTGTACCAATGTTAACATAGTTTGGCTGATTAAAATATATATTTCGTCAAAAAAGTTAAAAATTAGAGATAAATATTTAAACCATATATTTCGTCAAAAAAGTTAAAAATTAGAGATAAATATTTAAACCAGTTGAGTTATGCTATTAAACTAAAAAAAATGGTCTAATTCATGTCAGATAGTACCTTTTTTTCTTTCTTTTTCTTCTCTTTTTGGTTCAACTCATTTATACACATCTCTATCATCTAATCTAATTAAATAATTATTTGGATTCTCTAACTTTTGGGTTCGGAAACATGTAAGATATATATCTAATACTTTTAAGAAGATTGCTGTCAATATTATTGGAGTCTATATGACTTTAGAGATATATATTTGGATAAATAAAGTAATCATGTAATGTCCGATCGGGCGCTTGAATCTATTCCACAACAAACGTCACTTTTGAATTTGTCATTCTTAGAATCTTAATTAGTTAATTTTTATGGAAAAATAGACAAATTCAAATAAAGCTCATGTGTATATTACCTTCTCTAAAATTTAAAATAGAATTAATCCTCATTTAGAAGTATATATTCAGAGGTAATTGTAGTGGGTAGCAAAAATAATTCATATATTTCAAAAATGTCATTGGTTTTTCAAAATTTCAAATATAGAAAAATATTTGAATTTATTTTCGAAATTTTTATTATTCCAATTTTACCCTTATGATATTTGATATATATTCAATGTATATCTGTATCTGAAATAAATTCAATGTATATATGTATCTTATGTACATCCAATCTATATCTGATATACATTCGATGTACTTTTGATATACTTCTGATATACATCCGATGTACTCCTGATATACATGACCAGATGTACTCATGATTTACATTATCAGATGTATGTATTATACCTCTAATATATATATCTRATGTACCTCTAATTTACGATATACTAAATATATTTGCAACTCATATACTAAATATAAGGTATATCAAATGTTTACTTTTTAGTGGTATATCATTTGTTTAAATTCTAGTTCATCATTGCAATTTGTTGATTGCTATACTAATATTATCAACAACGTTGATTACTATATCACTACTATTTATTTTATATTAATATTAATTAGATACTAAATATAAGGAATATCAATTGTTTAAATTTATAAAGTATATTAGATTTCTAACTTTTTTTTTCTTGGACGTGCATTCACATAAATCTTTTATWCAATAATTTTATATTTTACTTCATATGAAAAAAAATGGATATAATAGTATTATATCAACACACAAGTATCATAATTATATTAGTACATATCATGGTTATATCAAAGGTATATCAATGGTAAATTAGAAGCATATATTAAGTATATATCAAAGTTATATTAGTGGTATCTTTTTCTTAAAAAAAAAAGTTATATTAGTGGTAAATCATATAATCATATATAAGAAATTATATCAATACTACATCATTTTATATCAATGGTAAATTAGAGACATATCAAGTATAGATCACAAATATATAAATGTTGTATCGACATGGTAAATCAATGATTATCATACGTATATCGGTGGTAAGTCATATTAGAAGTTCAGTAGATATCATAATTATATCAAAAGTAAATCAATTGTATATCATTATTATATCAGTAGTATATCGTAGGCATATATGAGAAGTCAAATATATTACAGATATATTACAGATGTATATCAGATATATTTTACAGGGTAAGTTGTAATTTTAAAATTGAACCTCTGTTTTTATTGAAAAAATGTTATATTTAAAAAAACTAAATGTGGTTGTTATTTTGCTTATTTTACTAAATATTTTTGTCAAAACTATCCCTATATTTAATTATAATTAATTAGGTAGGTTCAATTAAGTAATGGGTGTGAGAAATACATTTATTACATAATAAGTGGGTATTAAAATATGTATGAATTACAAATTTATGATAAATTAAATTTGTACCTTAACCGTCAAAGCTTAAACGGTTAAGGCACCTATTTTTGACCAGATGGAAGGTATGGGACGCAACTTCCACCATACGAGGCTGAACTTGAATGCCATTTGGTAAGGAAGACTCTACACAAGTTATAAAACACTTCGATACTCAATCAATTAATTTTGACTTGTTATCACTACAAGAAATAAGGTTTTTTTCGAAGGTCGGACTTTTCGATCTTCCGAGTTTTTTTAAGGAGGTCTTGATAAGATTATTTTTATCCCAAACAACTCGTGTCAGATGTCTTTTCACTTTCAAATAGCAACAATATGATTTGAATATTTAATTTATTTGAAATATGAGTTAAAAATATGCAATACACATAAACCCAGACAAGCCAGAGCATAAAGGGACCAGAGTTATTAAAATTATAAAATAATTAATTAAAATGTACGTGCATCAATGTTCAAGATGTCGATATCGATGAAAATATCGAGGTCCCGATTTTACGGACATATCGATATATGGACATGTCGATGTCGATGGATATTTCGAAAAAATAATGAAAATTGTGGAAATTGATGGAAATTTTTGAATTAACAAATAAAACTTGAATTGTAACCTAATTAGCCTATAATTGATTACCTTTAACCATTAAATGTAAAAATATGATCATTTTACTTATGAAAATGTCCATGCCGATGGAAATATCGAAAAAAGATTTTTTCCTTTAATGAATATTGATGAAAATTATTGAATATGTAAAGTAAACTTTAATCGTAAACTTTTGACTACTTCTTTAGTGATTTTCATAATAGGATTCATTTAGAAATGAGATAATTACCGACTTTGTTTCCAAACACATTTCTAAATTCTAATTAAATCGTACATATTTACTTTTTACCTACTCCTCTTTTCAAATTTGAATTTACACATTTTTCAAATCAATCATCAATCCAAATTTCCAACCAAATTTACACAATTTTCAAACCAATCATCAATCCAACTTTCCAATCAAATTTACACAATTTTCAAACACCTCAACCTCGTGATTGTGTCATTATCCAAATTATCTACCAATGGGATCCATATGTGCTTCATATTCTATTCATTTGAGTAACTACCTTCAAAACTTTCAGTCTAGGATGACTGGGGAGAACTATTGTAATTTATATCCAAGTTATCAAGATAGTGCATTAGATCCTCTGAGATCATCTTTTTGGTATTAATTAAATTACCTATTCTACTTCATGTTTCACCACTATTTGTACATAATAATATTTTATTTTTTAAAAATTCTAAGATTATTTCAATCTTTATATATGTCAATATTTCACATATATTGTTCAATTGTGTAAGTAAGGACTAGATTGGATTAGAAATTATCAATAAAGTAAATTTCAAATCTTATTAGTTATACTTTATACCGTATTAAAATTCGAATATTTCTTTAAACATACTAAGATTACAATTATCGAGGTTGTGAGAAATTACTGCAGTGACATAGTAATAAGAGGATGAAAATAAAATTACTTTAAAGAAGAAGAGAGAAAAAAAAAAGACATGTCGACATTTTGTCGACATTTCGACATGGGGGAAAATCGACTTTTTCCCCTATGTCGATGTCGACATGTCCAGCGATATTTTGAACCCGGATGTGCATTGAAATATAATTTTTTATTCTAAGATTTTATATATTGTCATGCATTCTCATTTAACTTGATTTGAAATTTTGAATATATGCATTAACTTAATTTTATAAGATGAAACTCTTGTGCATACGTAAATGTATTCTAATCTCAAATGTTATAAGTGGTTTTTCTTTTCTATCTAAAAATTATAAACTAAGTTTGGTAACATTTTTATTTGTCAATTTTTCTCCTCTTAAAATTTATAATTATTAAGTAAATATTTTTTGCTTTGTAATCTACTTTTAAAATAGTTTCTAAATCATAGTTTTTTCCCGAGTTGAAAAAAGTTTTCAAAAGCTTTTTATTTAGAATATGAAAAAAGTATTATAACACATATTTCAAAAGATGTCTTATAAATCATATATCATATTCAAGTTTTCTCTCATTGTTCCCTCTCCCATCTTCTCTTTCTTATATCTTCTACTTTCACGATTTTTATCGGTCTTACTCAAACACTAGAAATAAGCAATGATTATATATCTATTATATATATATATATTTTTTTTTGGCTAAATGATTTTACTTGCTCTTTCTCAACCTTTAACTTTATTTGTATTACTTCTAAAAAAAAAAATTTGTATTTGTACTAAAAAAAACTTTATTTATATTTAGATTAAATTATCTAAATTTTATGAGAAATCGTGTTGTATTATCTTTTATGAATTTATTAACTATTTATGTCAAGCTTTGAAAGGAGCATGAATTTAAGACGTTTCTATATCATTTGATTACAACGCCGTAAAGTAAAAATTTATTAAGGAAATTTACTAACAATTTATTGACCGTTGATGCAGAAATTTGACCTCCTGAAATTCTGCAAAATTTGCACCAATTTTCTAGAATTAAAGTGATCAACGTGATCTGCAAAACATAACAGCACTAAGATTGATGTGGCTTTTGCCACACGAGCTCCCATGCTTGAGTAAGTATCGAGTAGTGAGAGTAGGATATTTAGGTATACCTTTAAGGTTTGGTTTACTTTCCTATTTATAGAAGTTTAATTCCGATCCCTCTACGGATTGTGGAATTCGAATCCTGATACATCTAGGAAATCTAGTCATCTAGGTCAACGTATCTTGTTATGGGTCCATAGTCGAATCAAGAGTGGGGACGCGATGGATTCGGGCCGACAGGCATCACAGCCGAGTCGGTTCTTCTGGAGTTCTCAATCGAGGGCCAAG